ATTCGAGACCCAGACGACGCCTCAGGTATCTCAATTTCCGGTGCATCATGATCTGTGCATAAGGCATTCTTCCTTGGCTCGAGTTGCGATTGGTCGTTTCCAGATACGACTGTTGGTTGAGACTCCACACTACTGGTGTTTGGCTGAGCTGCAATACTCTGGCACATCGCCTCGCTAGTCACTTGCATATCCCTGTGGGGCTCCTCGTGGGGTGTGGCTGGCTCTCGTACTTGATCGGCGCCCAGTGCCGCTGTGGTTTCTGTTCTGGGAACAGCGTCATGTCTTCGCTCCAGACCGTCGTCTCCAGATGCGATGATCTCCACCCGACCTAGATCTCCGTCCGAATGATGATCATTTCCATGTGCTGTTGTTGTGGTATTCGAGACGAGGGTAGAGTCACACGCAGTCTCTGGGACATCATCCACTGCACTGACAAGCGATGGCTGTTTCCCTTTTCGCAAGGTGCCCCGGCCCCGTCTACTTGTCGTGCCCCGAGCTTGCACTGATTCCGCGCTTGTTCCCTTAGCTCTTCGTGCAAGTCTTGCTGCACGAGCATCTTGAGGAGCATCGTCATCCTGCCTCACCTCTACTTCTGCATCGGCCTCCGGTGTATCAGCTTTCGATTTCCCTGCAGTTGCGAGTTTCCGCAGCTGCGCCCATGTCTTTGCTTTTTCGCTCTGCTTTGCAAGCTCTTCCTCGCTCAGCTCAACCCATTTGGCGCCAACTTTCTTCGTACCGGTGAACTTCAGGAAGGTCAGACCCGATCCACTAGTGTCCATGTACTCGGAACCCTCAGGCGGCGCATTTCTCCCTCGCGCGTACGTTTCGCTCGGTCGGTGATACTGCTCACTGGTCCTGTAATTCTCATGGAACTCGACTGAATCGGAAAATTTGAGCCGCTTGCGTGATATCGAAGCTGATGAGCTGTGCGATCGTTTAGGCGATGGCCTGAGAGACAGCGATATGCCTTGCTGTCCATGTGGTGCTGTATCGGATGATTCTCCAGACCGCTGGGTAGTAGGCGAGTGTGATCTTCGACGCTTGGGACCATCTATATCTTGTTTGTCGTCGTTGATAGAGTCCCCTCCTCCATGGTCCTTGTTCTCCGGGTGTTCATTCTGCGCGTCTCTTGCTGGTCCAGGCGCTTCGACAGTCATCAACCAGTTGTCGAACTCCATATGAGCCCTCTTGTGGTTGTCTCGCGCGAATGATTTACTGATTGAGTCGCGCTTGTTTTCGAGTACAGCCCATTCAGTATCGGCTTCTCTAATCGCGTCATACAGAGAGTCGAATCGCTGACATGTGCTGCATCCTGCATGGGAGGCATCCGGTGAGGTCGTAGGTACAAGTCCAGTGGCGGATACCACAGCGAGGACTCTAGCACATGATTTGCACTTTACAGAGTCGTATTTGGAGGCCATCCGGGTGGTATTTGGTTGCGAGAGTGTTGAGTCGCTGGAGTATGCGCGTTCGATTGGCACGGTGTGGACGTGAAGTTCGCGAAATTGATGAGTAATGAATGCGTGCACAGTTACATTCGACTCATATATGTGCGAGCGCATTGATTGTAGTGGTAGTGGGGTGAGTAGACAGATGGTGATGGAAACAAAGACGCGACTGTGGAGATGTCACGTCTGCAACGAGCGCGCGTCGCCCTTTGACGCCTCTGCAAACAAGTGTCGTATTATGTGAGAGCAACAATCGCAAGGGTCGCATTGAAAGAAAAGCAATAGGATCGAGGCGAAAGACTTTGTTGTTCAGAGCAACCGCATCGTTGTTGCCTCGCTATCGATAATCCCTGTCGGTAGTCCCCTTTTCGCACGTCCACAAACAGCAATCGCGATGCTTCATCTTCACCTCACTCCACGCCGCCGGCCATCACCCTTTGGATCTGTCGCGTACGTGCATCGCCTCAACATCTGATGATGTCCTTGAGCTGCGATATTATACAGACCTCACGCTGTTGCGATGAGGCATCCGACAGCTCCGCCAACTAACAGTAGCAATTACGTCATCGGAAACATTTGCAATTTGAACACGACTCCACCACAGCCCTTGATCTCCAGGACTCAATCAGTTGTACTCCATCATGGCCGATGATCGCAAATCATTTCCAATGTGTGAGGTGTTCCACCCTCGTTATACATATGTCTTTTTACTGCATCCAATCGATCTTCAAGGCTTCCAAATTGTGAGGTTGACAATAGTTTGCGCTGGTCTACCATCTTTCATTTGAAACTCTTCGTAGCCTCCAGTCTATCGAGAGGCGTTACGTTTATCTTATCGTCTACCTGTATCCCATCCTGGAAACGGAATCGGATCTTACGTTCGAGTGCGTTGATGGGAGCACCATTGTGGAGTAGCGCCTTTGCGCAGTCTGGCATTGTGAACGCTGCTCCAGCTCTCACCATGCGCCTGACGATATTCGAGATATCTGGGGATTGCTGTAAGGCGGACGCAAACTATCCAAGGCTCTCAGATTGGAACGCTTTGCTAATGGGTCGTCGTCCAAACTTACGGGTACAGTGGACTGATGATCTTCCACGATACGGTCTCGCATACAATATTGCATCGTAGCTTTGAAATTCATCTCATGTGTACAAAAGATAGCCTCAGAAGTATCTACCGGTCCCAAACTGCAGATCGTATGCAGCCGAACTCTTTGCCTCATCAGCCGGACTTTCATCATCAGTTTTACTTCGGTCACCCCGACCATACTCGAAGTCACCCCGATCCTGCTCAAAGTCGCCCCGACCCTGCTCAAAGTCACCCCGACCCTGCTCAAAGTCACCCCGACCCTGAGATGCGACAGTGATACCATAAGGGAGATATTCTGGACTGAGGAAGGTCTCACGAGCTCTAGGGGTTTCTGGAGATGGTCTCCAATATACCTATAGTCTCATTAGCCCGCATGTAACTATAAGAGTTTTCGGAAGCGAACACCTACATCATCCGTGTATGTCGGACGGCTGTGGGCTGGCTCGTCTGCAGATGCACGCTCTGAACGTGAAGATTCCGATAGATGCTCAGTTAGTACTGCGGAGTGTCGTTCACGAGACAACGTAGAAGCGAAGACATCTTATCGAACTCGTCAGCAACCCTTACAAAGTTTGTTCCTATGTGGTTATATTTTACCTTGGTCTTTGGACCTGCGTGATCTTCGTCGAGCCTCGTATTCAGATATGTCCTGCGCAGTCGCCACCCTCACGGTGTCCGATTCAACTACTCGTTTCACATCCTTCAACATCGTTTCAGCTGGGATCATATGGAGATATGATCTTGAAGTATTGCCTGCGCATACTACGCCACATAGCTTTCCTTCTCGGACGACCCATGCGCCCGATAAGCCACGGCCTGTTACTTTGATTAGCGACCTGCCCGCGCATCACAAAGGCGAACTTACCGACGTTCGCAGTGAATTTGACCATCTTTGTGTGAATGAAGCCACCTTCCATAATGATAGAAGCATCACCCTGTACCATGTACCCCTTTGCTGGGTGTCCATCGCGGCTTGTGACGACCCACACATCTCCGGCGAAGAGTTCAGATGTTGGTATATGATCTGCGACTGTTTCGATGTTCTCACTGTCTTCTGTTTGGTATCTGTTGGATAAACTTGCGAGCGATGCAGGGTCTATCAGGGCAAAGTCTGCAGCTGCAGCGCAGTGGGCGCCCCTGGCGAGACGGACTCCATCAACAAAAGCGTCTCTTACATATGAGTAAGTTTTTGGAAATGGCGATGCTTCCCATTTGAGCGTATGCGACTCTCCGAGTGGTTCACTGACAGTGAGCTGAGCATCTGAGACCGCATTCACGATAGCGTGAGCGGTTGTCATGGCGAAGAGACGATCACGCACGACGACCAAACCGCCGATAGTGGAGTAGCAAGTAACAGCTCTGTTCTGCGTTTGCACCAAGAATTTAGCTCGCGCACCACAAATGGTGTTCAAACTGGAGACGCCGTCCTGGATCTCGAGAGAGCCCGTATGTGGTCGCCCTGTTCGTTGTCCGGACATGGCATTCAAGACCCAGAGATTTGGTGCGTTCAGAGAAACATGAGGCTTTTCCAGATGTTCCCTGCTGATAAAGTTCTGGAGGACTTTACTGCCCTTGATTGCTTTCGCGACAACTTTCCTCAACTGCGGGTTCTCGCACTGGATCCAAACTGTGGGTTTCAACCGTATCGTGGACCCTGTTTGCTGTAAAGAATCGCATTTAGCAGCCATACATAGCATGATATCTGTCAAAGATGTCCCAATGATTTTGGTAGTTGTAGTTGCCTGTACCAGCTGGTGGCTGAGCTGCTCTCGAACAAGCCGAAACCGAGTATACAACTCTTGTGGAGGCGGAACTGATTCCATCCTGCCTACTCTGTATCCATCTATTTCTTCGGTGTCTGCCAGAGCTGCAGATATAGTATGCTGGGTAGTGGATGAAGGGATGTGTCCATTCATCATCGTGATTCTCGAGGTAATCAATGATATGCTTAGGGTGAGCAACCTCAGAATGCATCTACTACCCCCTCTGTATCCTATTAATCTGATTTTACGATCAGTAGTCAGAGGGAAGAAGTGAGTCGACGTCCTGTAAAACTGCTAGAATATGCTGAGTGACATGTGTCAGCCTTGTCACAAAGTCAAATAGGTATACTAGGATTAGATTCTGATTTGCCTGGAAAAAGACATACACACCATGTGCGGATCTTAGCGACTTAGTTATTGTGTGCTCTTCATCAGGGAGGTTGTGCAAAGCTTTGATGTAAGGAAGGACTTGAGCGCTTTTAGCTGAAGGAGTTGGTGGCTTGACATGGTAAGCACTAGTTACCTTTCCGGTGCAGCAAAGGCGAGCTGAACTATAATGATCTGACCGGTGTGAACTGTGTTTGCCACCTCAAGATGCATACCCCGCCATCAATGGAGACGTGGCTCGTCTCGCCACCACAACCTAGCTATGCTGCCTCACTATACATAACAGTGATGCATCCACGCTCTCGCAGACAGGCATGAAGCTAAGATGTCACTGGGTAAATTGAAGCTTTTCTCCAATGCTCCTTGGTTTGACACGTTGAGGCTTGCAACCGACAAAAAGTGTGAATTGATCAATGCCTTTTGGCCTCATCTCAATCTAACACAGGGCGACTACAACGATGAGAACTACAAATCCTTGCTCAGCTTCTGGGGAGAGACCTTACAAAGCCTGATGAGTCATCGTAAAGAGTTCGCAGTCCAAGATTGGGATGACCTGCGTAAAATAGTGGTTCAAATAAGATTGAACCCAGGCAACAAGAGAAGGGTACTGACGGATGAAATAAAGAAAGCTTATCACAAGCCCAGTGATGAGGAGATTGCTTGCTCTATCGAGCTTGTGGTACAACTTTGGCTGGGAATCCGAGTTCACTCCACTCCACCTTCCCTTGGACCAGTGAATCTCAGAGACACCCAAATCCACTGGCCGAACGACCAATCCTTTGAAAGTATGGTTACAGGTCCGTTCCTCCGCGGCACCAAAAAAGCACAATCTGCGGCCTACTTCCTATTCGACGATTCCTTCACAGCCGCGGCATTGAAGAAAACCTGCCGACTCAGGATACACTGGACCGACAGCTTGGTCGACCATCTGAAAATGGAAGGAACCAGGGGCAAAAGACAGCTCTCCATCTTCAAACACAAGATCAGCCTTGTGAACCATCGCAATGAACCGAATGCAACAATCATCCCGGCAGATGTCTTGGACGAAACCATTCGCACACTCGATCTACTGTTTCCCTTTGGCGATAAGCCAACGAAGACTTTCTTGGAACACTCACATGTTAATATGGAGATACTGAACCCTTTGGAGTTACCGCGAGCAACCGAGCTAGACGAGTTCCTGTACTGGAGGAGCCGTCTCGCTCAACTGCTGAGTCTGTTCCATGGACCACCAGAGACTGTACGTCAAACTCTAGTAGACTCCAGGAATATTGCCCAATTCGCGACCATTTGGGTGGCTATCTTCGGTGTCTTCTTCCTGACAATCTTGTTTGGCGTCCTCTCGACTGTCTACTCGGCCAAGCAGTATAATGTCGCCGTCGAGTCATACCAGCTTGCCCTGGCGCAGGCCTGCTGCCAACAAACATCCCCACTGTTACCCATCTGTGCCCAGTCGACCGCAAAGCTGTGCTGAGATCGGTCGATACCATGAGTGTAAAGGCGCACCGCGGCATCCAAATTACGAGACAACCCGGCATTCCAAGATCGAGGCTTTCTGGGGTGAAAATCTCATGGAGAGGGGGAGAGGGCAGGGCTTTGGTTTCTGCATTTGCGACATCTCACTGAGAGGACCCGCTGGTATGGCGCTAGCATGTGTCTCGGAAGTTGCCAGTGGCGCGTTGCAGGTTGCTTGTTGGATGCTTCCTTCATTATTGGGCTTTTTAAACGGCATTTGGTGATGCATCTTTACTAGCACTACAAACACGCAGCGAGCCGGATCTTGGACAAGTCGGACAAGCAGGACTTCGTGGACAGTACACACCGGGATGGCTGGTGGAGAAGTGCTGAGGATTGGTTGCCGATGCTATGATATCTCTTTTTTATAGCTATACTAATGTCCATTGATATTGACTTTACCACATACCTCGCTCGCCTAACCATCGCAATTATGCTTGCAGGAAAAATATGCAATGCTACAATCCCATTCAATCTCTCTTCTCACAAAAGGACATAAACGCCAATTGCTCCGATGTCATGCTTCCTCCCACACTAGCTACCATCATGTCCAAAACCCATCCTACGAATCCCTGCGTCTCCTCGACGGCGGACTACTACCATCCGTCTTCACCCTTGGTGCCGGACTCCCACTATCATCCCTCTTCATCCTCGGCGGCGGGCTAGCACTAACCTCCCTCGCCTTGCCATTAGCCTTCGACGGTGGCGGCGGGCTACTGGTATCCCTCCTGCGAGTGCGACGCGGCGGGGGACTACCACTATCCGCTCTCGCCTTCCCTTTACCCTTCGATGGCGGGGCACTGCTAGAACCACGTCTACGCCTAGGGGGCGGAGTGCTAGAGTCACGACCACGACGGCGCGGTGGCGGGGAGGGAGAACGCGAGGGGGATGTAGTGTACTTCCGGCGGCGTGTAGGAGGTGGAGAACGGGACAGCGAGCCGGATGGGCTGCGTCCCCGTCGTGTGGTCTTGGATTTCGGGGGTGGAGAACGGGATCGGGAGGATGAGGGGCTGCAGCCGCGTCTCCTGGGCGCGGGGGAGCGTGATCGAGAGAGGGAGGTGGAGTAGGAGCGCTTGCTCTTGAGTTTGCGTGGTGCTGGAGAGCGGGATCGAGAGCGGGATGCGGAGCTGTAGGAGTCGCTTCTGCCACGGCCTCCACGTTTGCGGGCTGGGGTTGGGCTGCGTGTGTACGAGCGTCCTCTAGAGTCGGATCTGGACCTGGATCTTGAGTCGCGCCTTCTGCGAACCGGGCTTCGGGAGCGTGAGTAGCTGCTCGAACTGTAGCTTGATCTTGACGAAACGCTGCGGTCGTCGTCGGAGTCGCTCTCTGGCTCGGGTAGCGGTTTCGGCTTGGGCGCAGCGTTCTTAAGCCAGTCGCGCATGCCTTCGGTAAGCACACCCATACCGATCGCGGTGAAGTAGTTGATCGAGAAGCGGGTCTTGCTCTGGTCGTCGGCATCGGTGGGGAAGAGTCCAGTAAGGCTGTCTTGTAGCATGGGGTCCTTGAAGCGCTCCACAACGACCTTCTGCCCGAGAGAAGCTAGCAGCTCTTCAAACAAGATCTTGACGAAGATACGCGAACTGGAGGTGGTATCTTCTTCCGTCATCTTGACCACCTGGAAGACGTGCCAGCCGATACCGTCGGATGCTAGCAGATGCGCGAAGAACTGTGCGATGATACGAAGGCGGTTCGTTTCGAAGCGGTGGATAGTCTCGTAGTAGTGCGCGAATGCTTCCTCGAAAAGGTCGGTCCACATCCTGTTCAGCTTGCAGAAGCGCTCTCCAATCATGCCGTAAAACTTCTCGTATGTGCGCTCCTGACTGGCGCACTCGACGATCATCGTGGTGAGCTCGTTTTCCAAGCCATGTGGCAGGTTGATGCGCATGAGTTTGTGCACGCACTCCTCGAAGCCACCGCTGCTCTTGATGGTCAAGTAGATCGTTCTTCGCAGGTTAACGAGATCCGCGTTGGTCTGATCCTTGACGTCCATGGCCTTCACTTCCTCGTCCTCTTCATCCTCAGATGACGCATCTGTGTATCCATCATCGTCGCTACCCTCCTCTTCGCCAAGGATCTCTGCCTTGATCTTCGCGTACTCTTCCTCGTGCGCTTCGTAATCGGGGTCGACCTTGAAGAGGTTGAGGCCATCCTCAACCTTCAAATCACCCTCGAGCGTGTGGTTGTGGGTGATCTGATCCTCCTCCTCTACCAGGTCCAAGTCCTCCCTGATAACCGGGTTGTCCTTGTACTTTGTGCGTCGGACCTCGAAAAGAACCTCAATCATATATTGTGTGCGCTTGTCGATGTCGGCTTCGTGGAGGATGTTGCGCATCTGGTCGAAGATAGCGTTCGCGATCGCAGGCTTCATCTCGTCGAGGAAAGCGCCGACCTCTTTCATGATGCCGACGGCGATCTCAACAGAGTCGTCGGAGGGCTTGTTCAGCAAGAGGAGCAGGATCTCGGCGATCAAGATCTCGTGGACGACTTGCGTGTTGACGAGGTGGGAGAGGAACATGGTACTCGATAGCGCCACAGCCTTGTCGTTCCTCCTGAAACCCTTCCTGAACTGCACAATCAGGCGCCGAACCAGCAGATCGCCAACTTGAGGCAGCTTCGTGTTGACAATAGACACCATAGCCGCATAGATAGGCGTGAAAGGCAAACTCGCCGCTTGCGCCTTCATAATAGCTCTGCAGAACAGCCCACGTCCGCGCACCAGGTTCTCCGAGAACAGCTCCGGCACAATCATCTTGATATTCGCAGTATTCGTCTTGTTGATCAAACCCTGGATCGACTTCTTGAGCGCTTCCCAAGCCATGCGCTGAAATTCAGGGCTACTCTTATCCGTAATCGACTTCTGCATCTCGCGCAGGCGCGCCGGCGGGATATACGCGCCTCCAGCACGTGTCTTGGAGTCGTCAACGGGCAGCTTACGGTTCGCGCTGAAGGCATTCTGGAAAAGCTTCAACCGCGAGTCGTCATCGGGAAGGTCGTGGGTCGTAGGCTTTGGCGGCGGGCGACGGCCAATACCGCCATTGCGACGGTCGTCCTCCTCTTCATCCCTCCTGCTTCGCTTTGATGGCCCAGCACTCGGTCCATCGTATGGGGAGCGCTCGCGTTTGCGCGGAACGTCTTTGGCGTCGAGCTCGGGCTCCGGTGAAGGCAGGCGAACGGCTGATGCGACCTCCATCGTCGCGCAGTGGGTCGTGTTGGAGGTGGAGGATGGCGAGTGTTGAGGCGGAGAGTGACGCGCTTCGCAAAAGTTTAGCTTACAGGCGGTTGGGCGATCGAAGGTTGCGGCGAACGGGCCGCGGTTTCGCCGACAGGGGTCTTGGCTTGGCGTGACTTTGGGGGGAAGGGCCAGCGAGGTGATTGTAACCACCGTTACTCCAAGCTAATACACTCGTTCACTCTTTCGCCAATCTTCACAATGGTATGCTCTCACACGCGTGGCATTCAAGGCTGTGCACTGACCAACCATCACAGGCCGATCGCCTCGTAGGCCTCAGCATGCTCGTCGCAGCGACTGCCATCTTCGTCTACTACACCGTCTGGACTCTGTTCATGGTATGCTTTTGTGTGATCACTTCGTTCTGGTACATATACTGACTCTATATAGCCCTTTGTAGACGACGACCACATCCTCCACTCCCTCTTCCTCCCACGCGTCTGGGCCATCCGCATCCCCGTCATCCTCCTCATCCTGGGCACTACAGTCGTCGGCAGCTTCCTCTCAGTGGTTATGATCAGGAGCAATCGGAAGAAGGCACTCAAGGCCAAGCAGAAGAAGGCCTCATAGATGCTTACGGCATTGGGTGCGAGCAATAATCTTCCACAAAAGGGGTCAGCTTGGAACGGCGCAAGAACATTTAGTTGCGTCAATATAATTGGATTGGTAGCTGGAGAGCCGAGAGGCATAATGAAGTCGTTCAGATGTTCAGTCTCGCCTACATGACATTGCAGTTCTCTTCTGTGATGACAACCGGTCCACCACCCTCTCCTTCCTCATCACCTCCACCACCAGCACCCTGCCCACGGGCAATATGCCGAGCCAATTGCGCGAAGACAGCCTGGCTGATGAAGTAGTCGTCTCTTCCACCCTTCCTGTCCATGTCGTTCTGACTCGTAATCTGATAAGCCTGGTGCATCCTTCGTCGACTACTGAGTCCACCAGGGGCAACCTCATCGTCACTGTCGCTAGGGGCATCGACTGCAGGCTCAATTTCAGCCTCAGGTTCGGCAGCGCGGTTGCGACGGCGACGACCGAAGTTCAGACTGGAGAAAGCAGCCGGATCGGACGAATGCACTCCGACACCTTTCCGTGCGTTACGCTGTAGCTGCGCATCTGGAGAGAAGATTTTGATAGTGTGGTCGATACCGGAAACCGCCATTGTAGGTTCATAGGGGTGGCCTGATCATGTTAGAGCCTGCGTCGCCATGTTTGTGTACTTATACTTCGACTTACCTTGAATGACATTGACCACCTCTCCATCTCCCTCCAGGATGTTTACAAGTTCCGCTGTCTTGCGATCCCAGATGAACACGTGGCCAGAGTCGCTTCCACTGACCACATACTCATCCTGCAGTCCGAAGTAGTTGACGTCTTTGACTGTCCTGGCGTTGCAATGCCCAGTATAGACACGTGTATGAGGTACACAAGGTATATCGCGCTCCACCTTCCATCGTCCGTAGCGACTGCGGCCAAAGTCCGATCGCCATAACATGTTTCCAGATCTTGTACGGCTTAGTCCTTCTTCATCTTCGTCATCAGTGTCATCTTCTTCTCCATCATCCGATTCTATATCACCATCACTATCTTCATCGTCATCATCGTCATCATCGTCGTCCTCTTCTTCTTCATCCTCGTCTTCGTTCTCTTCATCGGCGCTCTCAATGGCCACAGAACCCGACTCGTTAGCGTTAGCAGAGCTGGAGACAACCTCTTCCTGATCACTGCCATCTCGTGCCGATGTGCTGATGAGTTCTGCATCGCGGACCGGGCCCTCGTCTACCGAGGGATCGATGTCCTCCTGCTTTTCTCTCAACGCCTTTTCTTCCGCTCTAATCGTCTTGTCGGATATGCCCTGGCCGCCGTAAGCGCGGTCTACGAAAGCGAACTTGATATCCTTGGCGGCATTGCGCAAAACACCCCTACCAACATAGTACACCCATCTTCGTTTTGCCGTAGTTCGAGTTTGTGTGGGCTCGCTAGAAGATGATGGCTCTGATGTGGACTCATTCTCGCCAGTGAGATCCGCAAATGGTATCGTGATTGCATGGCCGAACGCATCAACAGCCTCAAACTCAGAGTCATACAAGACTCGAGTGCTGTCTGTCTCATACTTGGAAGCATCGACGTTGATGATCTTAGTGTCGTCTGCCAATTCAATCAGGTATGGGATCAGTCGTTCCTGGATGGCGTCCATATCCGAACCATGGGGGATGGGCAATCGAGTGCTACCACTTCGGCTCGAAAATCCTTCCACGACTGCTCCAGGGCCACTGTCGATCCATAACAGTATGGCCTTCAGAAAGTCGTATCCAAATTGCTCGTGTTGTGGTGGATCGCGTTCTCTTGGCGCTAGTTGTATTGAAGCGAAATACTGGGCGATCAAGGCATCAGAGCTGGATCCAGTCAAGAGTTGTCCACCTAGCACCCGTGCCAATGTCCCGGCTGCTTGCACGAACCGACGAGACGCTGCCCTGCTATCGCGAAGCTTGTTTTGTACTGCAACGTCCACAGGATCTGGATCGATTGGGTAGCCCCACGTTCTATCGATGTCGTCCATGTCGGGCAAGATCGAGTTCGCTAGACCTACGATGGACGTGCATGCGAGGTGGATTCCAGACTCCCCAAGCTCACCTAGCTCGAAAATTCGTTTCGCTATCTTGACGGTTGTACTTGCGATGCGGTAGTGGTCTGATGCTCGTAGATCGTTCAGTTCCTCCTGGGTCATGCGGTTCTCAGCAGGAGGATGAATACGGATATCTTCGCTCTGACCGTTTCCATATGTCACTCGCAGTGCTAGGTCTTCATCGGCACTTTCGGTACGTTGTCTTGATTCGGCTCTCTCGATGCCTTCTTGCGACAAGGTACTAGACTTCGGTCGCTTGCGTTTCCTGTTCGTGTCCTTCACGCGATGGCCAGATGCACTATTCGAGGTCTTGATGGGCGTCACGTTCTCTCTAGCATCTGGCGCCCGTAGAATATCGAAACTGTAGATGTGATCCTGGGACCAGCTCACAACGAGCTCGTTCGGCTCGGCATCACTGATTTTGCATGCTGTAATATGACCGCCATCATTTCTCTTCATGCGCTGCTTTCCGTTGGGCGCAAACTTCTTCACACATTGCGTTGCCTTTCCTAATAGCTCATCGTCATTATCGTTCCAATTCTCTGGACTTGAAAGCCTAGATCCACGCTCGTTGTTCAAATCGCGGCCAAGCATCCGGCGGTCATGCAAGAAGCAGTGGAGATGTGCTCCACCTAACGCAATGTAATGCGGCTGACTAGGCGAGCATGACACGGTATTGAGATCCAGTCCATATCGAGCATACGAGATGAGTGGCGGCGGGATGCTGTCCGAGGCGTCTTCATCTCTCGCCCAAGCGGGCAGCATGGTGTCTCGTGGGGGTGGATATGCCTTGGAGGGTTGCCGTACATCCCATTGTCGTACCTCGCCATCGTTCGAGCACGTAAGGAAATAGAAGGGGTTGTCTTCAGTGACGATCCGCTTTACCGTGTCGGCGTGGCAACGGAATGCCTTCGCGTTGGTATCCCCTTCTGTGAGCGTCAGTCTACGGCGTGCTCTGCCTGTACTGCCCGCATTGCCTGTAGACCGGAGGGCCGAGTGGCCTGAATGCTCGATATCGAATATCCGTACATCGTCTGTCGCGCTGACAATTGTGCGATCGTTGGAGTAGGGCATGAACTTCACGGAGAAGATATTAGACTGATGTCCTGTCTGGATTGAGGTGGTAAGATTGAACTGCGACGTCGACGATTCGGGGTGGTACGAGTGGATGTTGATACGATGGTCGTCGGAGCCAGAGGCGAGGAGGCGGCCAGAGGTCGACCAGCTGGTAGAGTCAGACTCTGACACCGATTTATAATTAGGGTGATTGCATACCTGAGAGCATTGACACATCCATTATGGCCTTCTAGTTCGTTCACGATATCGAGGTCGTCCACCCATTTGCGGTCGCCGTATATTGATCGAATGTCCGAGTATTTCCTAGGCTGCTGTCCGACTTCGCGCTTAAGTAAGCGATCGTATACAGTGTACTTCATCGTGGCACGTTGTGTAGTTTGCTAGAGGGTGGATGGATCTTGAAAGCGCAGCTCGAGGAAGTCGCGAAAGGCAAGAGCTACCGGAGGCGATGCTTCCAAAAACAGCTGAGCAAGTGCGATGTGAGGCTGTGGGGATAAAGTCAATCAGGTGGCACAATACGCAAGTGAAATCGCTTCTGTACGGGCATCGCGACAAAGAGGTTGTGGCGTTGGTGCAGGTTGCGCGTTCGCGTGTGTTCAATGGTCGCGAGGGAATGACGAAAGGTGACTCCACCCACGTTTTGGAGCTCCAAGCTTCACCCCCGCGGCCTCCCGCAGCCGATCCCCAACACCCGTCCCCCATGCATCATCAAAAGGCTGGGGCCAGCCCTCAACATTATCAACAGTCACGAAATTACCTCTGACATCGCGCTATCTATTCATCACGACGAAACACCTCGGGATTGACGCGCATGCTGTCACATGTCTCTACGAAGCGTGTGGATTTCTAGCATCTTCTAGCCTTGCATCGTTGTGAAAGTTTGGCGGGCATAGTTGATATTGACGAAGTATGAACAGAAAGAATAATCGCGCGTACTCGCATGGCATACAACTACACCTAGTGGTATCTAAAAAACGTACGAAGTGACATGAGAAACGTAAACATCCAACTACTAAACAACACTCTTCATCATCCAGCCTAGAAAAGTAGAACAGCACCGGCAACACCAACAAGCATCATGAATCCAGCCCCAACACGGCTAGCAGCGCCCTCGAACTCTGCAGGCGGCATGTACTGGGAAGACATGGTAGGCTTACCAGTACCAGTAGGCATAGGCGCGTACATGCTGGTACCGTTCATGGCAGGGCCGGCGGGAACGTAAGGAGCACCTCCAGCAGTTGGATAAGGAGCAGGAGTGTAGGTGGACATTGCGACCTTGGTGAGGGTCATGTACATGGTGCTAGTAGCCTCTTGTTCGACTGGCTTCTTGGGGTACTCGGGCATGGCAGGGTACTCTGCGGCCTTGGAGGCCTCGGGCATAGATGGGTACTCAGCGCCCTTGGAAGCTTCAGGAACGGAGGGGTATTCGGCAGCCTTGGAAACCTCAGGAGCGACAGGGTATGCGGGCATCGATGCTTCAGGAACAGCGGGGTACTCGGCAGCCTTGGAAGCCTCAGGCGCAACAGGGTATGCGGGCATAGACGCCTCAGGAACGGCCGGGTACTCGGCGGACTTGGAGGGCTTAGGAACCGCAGGGTACGCGGGCATAGATGCCTCAGGGACGGCAGGGTATGCAGGCTTGCCTGAAGACATTGGCTTAGCCGGGTAGTCTGCAGGGTATGCGACAGAAGGAGCAGATGATGGGTATGCGGGCACGTTGGTGGCGGTAGCGATGGGCTTGGTGATGGTCACGGTGACAGTGCTGGCAGTGTAGACGCTGGTGGTCCAGCCCTCAGGTACGTCGGTCGAGCCGGTGGGCTTTGCGCACTTGGTGCAGACGGTCGCAACGTAGGTGGTGGTGACGGTGGTCAAGCCAGTGGGGCAGACATCGACGTAGGTAGCTAGGAAATGTTAGTGATATCTGTGTGCTATAGGGTTTGTTGCAAACTTACTTGTGACGACTGAGGTGGTGGAGCCGGCGGGAACCTTGGAAGACTCGGGGTACTCAGGCTTCTCCGTTACGGATGGGATGCTCACGTGGCCAGTGCTGGATGCAACAGAGCCCTTGGAGCTCTCAGCAGGGTATGTAGCAGAGACAGTGTCGGTGGGGTACATCGGCGATGCGGTGGAGTATACACCAGATGAGTAGACAACAGACGAATGGACTTCGGATGGGTAAACGGCAGAGAATGACATGCTGTACTCCATGGAAGGCACGTATGGGGTAGAAGACGCAGCCTCGGGGGTGGACGCAGAGACTGAACCAGTAGGGTACATGTCGCTGGAGCTTGAGGCCGACGAGGACACTTCGCTGGAAGCAGAGGTCTTGCTCGGGGAAGGAACGTAGACGGAGCTGCTGGCGGTCTCGGAAGCAGAGATCGTGGCGACAGATGACGGCTCAATGAGGGTGCTGGAGACGGTCTCGATGGTGCTGGAAGTCTCGTATACCGAGCTGGCGCTGACAGTGGCGGTGATCTCAGGGACGGAAGACGACTCAATCAAGCTGCTGCTGGCAGATCCGATGGAGCTGGAGCTCTCGTATACCGAGCTGGCGCTGACAGTAGCCGTGATCTCAGGGACGGAAGACGACTCAATCATGCTGCTGCTGACAGACTCGACGGAGCTGGCAGTGATAGTCTCAGTCGGGAGAGGAACGTAGACTGACTCGCTGCTGGAGGCAGATGCAGAGATTGTAGCGATGGACGAGGGCTCGATCATGGTGCTGCTGACGGTAGCAACGGAGCTGGCGCTCTCACTGGCAGTGGGCATCTCGCTGTAGACTGAGCTGCTCTCCTGGACGGAAGAAGAGCTGGAGGCGACAGAAGACGACTCTGCGACGGATGAGCTGGAAGAAACGTGGACGGAGCTGCTGCTGGAAGCTGAGCTCGAGGTGGGGTAAGCAGACGAAGACTCCGCGCTTGAAGAGGTAGCGTAGCCAGAAGACGAAGCACTGCTGCTGGTGATCATGCTGCTGGGAGTAGGAGTGCTGGAGGAGACCATGCTGCTGGAGACAGGGGTGCTGGAAGTCACGGCGCTGCTGGAGATGGGAGTGGAAGACGAGACCATCGTAGACGAGACGAGAGTGCTGGAGGATGATAGCTTGGTCGAAGTCGGGGTAACGGTCGACGAGGACAGAGTGCTGGAAGACACAACAGGGTGGAAATCCTTCTTGAACGTTCCGTCAAGAGACTTCTTCATCCAAGTACCGAATGATTGGCCGTATGTTGGGTTCTCGACAGAGACAGTCGCTTCCCATAGCATAACACCACCAAAGTTGGGGTGGGTCTTGTAGAACCCAAGCAAGTAGTCTGCATCTTCAGGCGAGACATAGTGCTCCTTGTGGGTAGGGAGACCAGCAGGACCGGCAGGCAATCCGATGTAGAACTTGGCGCCGGGGTTCATCGATTTCCTGATCTCGCTGGTCCATTTGTCGAAGGTAAAGGTGCTGGGCTTTCCGTTCTTCTTGTCCTCGACTTCCTTGGCAGCAGAGCACTCCCAAGTGTTGTAGAATTGAGTGAAGATCATGTCGAACTTCAACTTCTTCATTATTGGGGAGATCCTCGCATCAGGGACGATGCACTGAGGAGCGGCAGAGAGGAGCATGCTCGAGTATTTCTTGACGTAGTTGCCGAAGAATTCGTAGTTGGCGTAGATGAATTTCTCATCGCCTCCAGGCATGTCGTAGAATTGCGCTTCAAGGTCCATGTCAAAGCCGTCCACGAACGCGTCACCGAACGGGCGCGGCTTGTCGGCGGCCTTCCACTCAGGGGTAACCTTGCCGTAGGCACCGAGCAAGAACTCGGCGGTCCATTCGGCGACGTCCTGGTCCTTGAGGTAGTAGTTCGTAGGCCAGCCACCTCCGATAGAGAGCATGACCTTCTTGCCCCTCCTGTGACAAGCATTGATAGCCTCCTCTATGCCGGGGCATGAACTGTATAGAGTGCTGTTCTGCTTCAAGACCGGATCGTAATATACATCACTACCACACGCGTTGGCATGGTTGCTTCCGGGGTATGCGCCTCGCACTGTAGGGAACGAGTTGATGACTTTTCGGTTCAGAACTATTAGCATTGCTTCCTCGTGGACGGTCGAAAGATAAAGTAACTTACAGCCGATGTTGACAATGTCGACGTTAGGGTCAGTGCAAACATCGATGAGTGGGATCTGATCGTATCCCTGTCCCCAGTACATAGCAATGTTCGTCTTGGCGGCAGCGTCGTAAGTCGCAGCGACGCTAGAGACAAGGAGTCCAGCTGCGAAAGCAGCGCGAGTGAGGGTTGAGGGAGACATGATTATGGTATTAACGATATAAACAACGATATGCGGTTTTGAATGATAGGACGGCCGGGGCCAGTAAAGATCGTGATGAGCGGACTCAACGAAAGGACGCAAGCAAAAATGCTGCAATTAGGATGTAGACTCGAAAGAGTGACTTGACGACGAACTGGAAAGCAGTGCGACTGACGATGAGAAAAGAAGACATGGGAGATTGCACTATATCTAGTCTTGGCCCACAGGGCTGTACCTGCATGAGCGAGAAGGGTCGGACGCTGACTGCGCCGTTTGGTGGCATGAGGCCATCGTGCAGATTCAGACGGCAGACATCGTGTGCCTGCAGGAACAGAACGATGGCTTCCGTAGTTCCATGCCATTGGTAGAGGTGCCTGGATCCTAACTGCTTCGGGTCTGAAGTGTCGTCGGGCGTCCAGCAGTACCTGCGTCTAGGCGAGCGCTAACCATCAACATGGCTTTTGGAAACGCTTCCATGTGATGCCTCACCCTAGCTTCAAGACCGGTGAATGGGCCGTGTCTAAGTATCGATAGCATCAATCTCGGTTAAACCGTCGAGAGTGCTCCTTCGACCGTCAGCAAAAGGAAGGAGAGTTGCTGATGCATAATGGAACGGCTCAGGACGGCATTCGGTCCAGCTTCCCGGCGGCGTCTTTGTTGCATGCCTATAGTATGGACAGACACATAAAGCCAACAACCTCTGCTCGGGTTGGTATTGCGTCTTGCGCTGGTTTGGCAATCCCGGATGAGTTGGAAGAAGAAGATCCTGGTGCCAAAGCGACCTCCTGAATCTGCAGTCGGTACCCGTGGACAGTGTAAACACCGGGTCTCTCGGTGGCTGCCTGCAGGAATCTTCTCATGGCTGCATGGTTGCAGTGGTTTCATCCCAATGGGGGTACCGGTCCGAACAAATTGGTGAGTTGGTGTTGGGATGGCGTCGGCTACGGCTCAAGCGATGCTTAAGTCAGGGGCACCGAGCGTTAACCATTCCTCTTCGAGACAGACCCTTTCAGCCCTGTCAGAACCGCATCCTTCAAATAAGGGTGTCTATCTTCAGCCGTCTTGGCTTGTGTGACAGTAGCGATCAATACAAAGACATGGTCTGCTCGAGCACCTACGCCTTGTTCATCTGGCTGCGCCCTTCGTATACATATCATCCGCCTGACCGTTCTTCTGCCGCATCAGTCAGCCAAGATTTACGGCGCAGTATTCTTGGTGGGGAGGTGTGTGGGTCTAGCCTGAGACTAAGTTTTCCTGCGGGAGGTTCGCGACAGTGGCTACCCATTGGCATCGCGAAAATGACACGCCCAAGGGCTAGCAAACGCGCTGACGCGGGACCAATGGTTTGACCACAGCGGGAGCTATTGAAAGCTGCATCGCAAAATCGGCCGTAAGGATAGCTTCTCGTGCTTCTGAGTCATCTGCATTGCCGATGTTCCGTCATCGTGAGCATGTCGCAGGATTTTGGAATGAATGTAACCTCGGAGCGCGCGCGTGCCGCAGATTGCTGGGCGAAGGAGTTGGGAAGGGCGCGCATGTATATTGCGCTGGAGTCTTCTTTGAGAGCTCGCGACAAGACTCTTCACGCTCGCGCACGAAAGCCAGAAGGACATGACATATGCGCAGTGGTGCGTGGTATGACGGGTCCGGGGTCTGCAACGTGAACGGGTTGCGCAGTCGGTGCGAGGTGATGTGCAGACCCACGGCGGGTGGGTGCCCAGTGCAAATCATGGGCTTGCGTTCGCCGATCCCCATCCAAAACGACCGCGCGGCACTCTTCTTTGCAAGCTTAAGCAGACCTCACATCGCCTAGGAGAACGACAGTGGTGAGTAAAGTTGTACAGAATTCGTGTCTATCTATTCAGTCTAAGCATGAATTATAAAAGTCGTAAGTTTCGTGATGTCCCTCCAAAGCATGCCCGTCCATGTCGTCTCATTCCCAGTCGGCGTTGACGAGACGCAGCTCACAAGCCTCCTAACGTTACTTCCCCTTCATCAAGCGACAGCAAAGCGACTCCGCTCTCGCAATGTCTTGCCGTATCTGTACAGTGCAAATATGCCAAACGAACACAACACCATGCATCCCGCCAGCAAACTCACACCACCATCGATCCCAATACCCTGGAACATGGGTCTGGCGAACAGGATCGCCGCAAACGCAAACGCGCTTCTGCTAAGACTATTGGCACTAAAGATGCTGGCTGCGTATGTCGGATAGATGTTAGGGATGTACAGCAAAACGCTTTGCGCGATGAAGTAGATCCCAAAACAAGTAAGACTGAGACCGATGGTAGGCACCATCCAGTGGACCGAGGGTCTTGATGCCCATGCGAACATGAACAGCCCTACCGCGATGACTGGACTGGCTACCATGCCGGGCCATAGATGGTTTTCGAGCTCGCCGAATGTCCCGTTCATGAGCCGAGGGAAGACGCGGTACTTGAGGTACAGCACGTGTGCCGCGAAGGCGCCAAGGCAGGCTGGGAGGATACAGAGGAAGACGAGGCCCGTCGACTCGGCATTGAAGCCGTAGTATACAGGATAGACGAGAGGTAGGGACTACGATGGATGCGTCAGTGTGTGTCCTTGTGGTTTGAACAAGATGAGTGCTTACCTCGAAAAATGAGTAGTAGATGCCGTAGCACAAGCCCATGTACACCGTCGTGAACAAGATGGCGGGGTCGAGGGCATTGATCTCCCAAGGCTTGACCAGCGCGTCGAAGAGCAGGCTGCTAACCTTCATGTTCTTTTGCTTTCGCTCCGAGGCCGACATCAGCTCCTGGTTTCCTGTATCCTCTCGCATGCGCTTCGCTTTGTAGTACAGGATGGTGGGTCCGGAGCTCTCCGGCAGTACCAACAATATGGCTAGGTATACTGGACCTGCGATGATGAGCAGTTCCCAGCTTGAGAAGCGCCAGCCCAAGTCCTTGACGGCATACGAAGATAGCGTAGGTCCAAGTGCAGGACCGAGTGTCGCGACCGCCGCCCAGAGCGCAACCGCAAACGGGAATTCAGCCATTGTCCATATGTCCCCGAGCGATGCGCCAGCCGTGGCGAGACAGGGTGAGGCCATGACTGCGCGTCGAAGTCAGTATGTATCGTACAAGTGATCCAAAGAATGTCACTTACATCCCAAGAGGAAGCGCAATACCATCAGACCAGCAAAGTTGTCTACCAGCGCAGTCGGTATGCACAGGATGATGAAGAAAAAGCCAGATACCGCATACGGAGGGTTCCTGCCGATGGCCGGTACTTCAGATAGCGGCGAGAAGAGCAGGCATCCGATACCATAACCCAGCACATAGAGCGCAATGCCGAGCGAGGCGGCGACATGACTGACGTCGAACTTGTCCATGACCGCTTGTTGTGAGGATGTGTATATCGAAGAGCCGACGTACACGGCAAAGGTGTAGACGCATAGTAGCACAGTCACAAGTATCTTGTGGGACTGAGGCCAGTTCTGAGGGTTGCTTGGGTCGCTTGGTCCATCCCAGTCGACGAGGGTGGTCTGGTGCTGCTTAAGCTCTGTGCCAACAGCATCTCCAGCTCCAGGGACGGCTTCCTTTGGAAAAGGGAGATCGTCAGTCGACGATGATGTAGATATTGGCTTTGCTTTTGTACGCGCATAGTCAAATTTTCGATGCTTGATGTAATGGGCTAAGGTTCCGATGAAGGAGTGCTTGAAAAGGTATGACATTTTGGCGATGCTATCGTAAGGTTGTTGTCGATTGGGGGGAGAAGCTAGACAGAACGGAGAGGTAAGTAGGGGTAGCAGTAGCGGCCCTGGACAGCCAGATGTGAGGAAGATAGGAAGGTTTCCAAGGCAGGCGGGCTTGTAAGATAAGTATTGAAACGTGGTGATGTTGCACAACACTGAGAGTCTCTGCTACAGGCTTATATCCTCCATCGTGGCTGCTATCTTAACTCCACGTCTTACACGCCCAGCATCTGGGTTTGTCAGACTCTCGCGCAACGTGAAGGTACAGCTCTTGGCGTGAAAAATAAACAACAGGATATGGACGTTGTGTCAGCGAGTTGAGCCATGGCGATAGCGTGCTCTTCGCATATGTCCCCGATAGCTCCTAAAACGGCAACAATCTACGAGGGTGAGTCTCACTCTCGACCACGTACCGATGCGCCATTGCAGGCTACAGTGACTACTAGGCCGATCTAGAGATTTCCAGCGCTGCGACTCGTCGGACACTTCTCTGACGTTAGTTCAACGAAAAGCCTCTGGTGTTAGCGGAGTCAGCGGACATAAAACGTGACTGGACGTCAGATCTCATGATTCATCGACCAATACCTGCGGCATGTGTAGAGTGTGTACATATAATGTTGTCGCTTGGACGGACGAATGTACGGAGAGGTCGGAGATGCGAATGCTCGAGACACCAGATTGGCGGGATAGGAAGCGAGGTAAGCATGTACAACCCGAAAGAAGTAATCACCGATCAGCCTCAAAGCCTCCGGTCGGAGTCATCCTATCAATGTAGCCATGAGAAAGCAATGCGTACTCGAACATGATGAGATTACTGATAGCAGGCTTACCAAATTGTCAGTATATAGGGTATCGATAGTCCTCCGGTGGAAACGTTCGACAGTTTTCGTCCGAAACCACAAACTCTCCGGAATTTGTAAGTCGATACTGTGTGTGCGAAAAAGCAGGGTCGATGCTGATGACAAAGAATGGCTGCATTATCAGATGTGGCTGCTCGCAGCTGCTGCTATTCGTCGAGCCAAATCTCTTGTTGATGGCGTAAGCAGTAAGCACTATGATATCTTATCGCAAACGCATACATGCATCGATGTCGCAAAAGAAAGTAGTCGATTGTCGAAGTCAGGAAAGATCCAAGGCCAAGTCGTCCTGTCTGGCCTCGAGAGCTAAAGTTGGGTGGGGCAACCACGTGATGCGGGGATACTGACGTAAACGCGTCCGTCGCGTCTGGCCCCTGACGCCGTCGCTGTCACCCAGAAGTCACCCAGCACACTACCACAAGATG